CTGCAGAAGTTTTGAAAAAGTGTAGCAAACATGTAAAATGACTTTATTTCATATGATCGATAATGGAAGTACTGTGTACTCGTTTGGGATTTCGAGTGACAATTTTTGACTTTTTAATATTTTCAGATTTAACAGAAATCTTGTTTGGATGCGAGATTTGAAGTGAGATTTCGTATATGACATTTTCTTTTGAAATCACAACAAATCTTAAAAAGTCTTAGCAAATTCTAGTATTAACGTGATTTTGTAAGACTTTTAAAAATTTCAAACGAATACCTCAAGACTTTTAAAAGTTTTAAAAAGTCTAAATTAAATAGACCAGGATTTTATAAGTTTTAAAAAGTCTTTATAAATCCTAAACGAAGACACTCTTAAGAATTGAATAAATAAAAGTACTTTGTATAGTGATCGTACAAATGTATATGCGAAGTAAATAAATTATATATATATATAATATATATAAAAAAAAAAAAAAAAGAAGAAGAAATAATCACACCGTTCTCATTTAAGGATTTTAGAATTCATGTTTTTAAGATTCAGTGGGACAAAGAATCATTTTTAGAAACAATAAGATAATATTAGGAGACTACAATTAATAAGTTTTCTTGCATACTTTGCATAAATATTTAAATGACATTTTTTATTAACTGTGCACGACCTTATGAATTTTAAGAATTGATGAGTATTGACATGGTAAATTTTTTGACAAATGATACCAGCTAGAAACTACTATTGTCCGCTAAACATTATTTAAAGAATCATTTATTTATGTATTTATTTTCAATGAGACTGTCTGCATAATTTTTATTTTTTTTATATATTTTGCTTCTATATTAGAACATCAATTCACCAAATAACTTATATATAGAACAATGTCCGAAAAAATACATTAACCTAATTATCCTAAAATTCGATACATTACTTGTCATACGCATGCAGACTTAATTATCATAAAATTGAATACTTAAGGATAGTCTTAACTTACTACTATGTTGTTTTAAGTGGCTGCTAATTAGTAATTAACCACATAATAACACCACCTCAGTTATTCGACGCCGTAAATGACCAACCATAATATTTATATTCATCACTTTACAAAAAAAAAAAAAGTTTG